ACATGTCAACTATTTTGTTTCTCATCTGTTCTTGAATTTCTTTAGATCGCGGCATGATGTGTTGCTCTTTAAGCATGCTTCACTTTGTCAGACAGGTTCTGTTTAAGTGATTTCTTGATTCAAGAGGTCTGGCAGTAATCAGGCCTGTGTGTGGCTAGTGAAATTTAACTCAGCTTTCTAAAATAATGTGGTTAATCACAGTTCTTTCATGATTTAACAGGAGGGGGCAATTAATTTCACGTAGGTAGGTTTGGACCGCTGTTTTCCCTTAATAAATGAAATCATCATTTAAAAACTGCAATTTTTTTTTACTAAGGTTATCTTTGTGTAATACTAATATTAGTTTGATGATCTGAATCTTTTAAGTGTGACAAATATGCCTGTGTTTGTATCAGTCTGATCTGTGTCGGTTTTCTGTGGTTGTAGGTCTCCTGTGGAATCTCTCCTCTGCGGATAACCTTAAGCTGGATTTGCTCCACTCAGCCTTGCCTGCGCTCACTGAGAAAGTCATCGAGCCGTTTTCAGCAAGTACAGACGACAACTCCAACACCAGCCTGGCACCAGAGGTCTTCAGCAACGCCACGGCATGCCTTCGGTAACGTCACACACGTGTACACAAGGCAAATGTCAGGACTGACTCCACGCATTAAAACTACTATTGTTGCTGGAGCCAGTATCTGACGCTGGTTATATTTTCACCAGTAAGCTGTTCAAATATTTGATCTAGATTCGTATTGACTTTGGCACACCTACAGACCACCTAGTGTTCAAAACCTGTTGGGAAAAAAAAAGTAAATCACTTTCTGGATTTGGCAAGCTACATTGATTACCTGGCATTATGTACAGTACCTTTTAGGTGCACTTTTCTACAAGCTCTTCTGAGGATGATAAAGTCTGCCAGGTTATTGATATTAAGGCAAGACACTAGAGGCAAACCATTGGTCAATTTTTATATTTTGGCCTATTGTTTCTATAACTTGTCTTCTTTCGGACTAGTGGAACGAACACATCCAAAAAAAAAAAAAACTTTTTTTTTTTCGCACTTTACCTATCTGTGTATGTAGATTTCAGTTACAATACATCTTTAAAGGCTGTCTCAATCTCCACTTCAGCAGCACTTAGAAACTACGTTACAGTCTTATTCCTGTTAATATTCTGAAGGTTTTTTACAGAAGGGTTTGTTAATGTATAATTAACCTTGTATTTTATTTTGTTTGGCTGTTGACAATATTATCTGATTTAACGCAGAACAAAAAAAGACATATCCAAAATCCCATCTGAAAACATCTTTAACTCTAATATGCCAACAAAATTTAAACCTGGTGTTAGAGTTCAGATTTCTGTTCTGGAAATGTATGCAAATTCGTGTATATTTAAATAGAGAATGCCTCATATTATAAATGTTAAGTTTATATATATATATATATATATATATATATATATAAACGTAACATTTCAGCAATTGTATATTAATTAGAGATCGACCGATATATCGATTTACCGATATTTTTCCTGACATTTAAGCATTTTACCATAATCGGTTATCGGTTTTGTAATATCGGATTCACTGATAAACGCCACCATCTTGTGGGTGCTTTGAGAATTGCGTGCAGGATCGCCATTGCAGCACGCCGTCTGAGGGGAGAGGAGACAACAACAATGGCATGCATAGGTAAAGCATACTTACTTGCTTTGCTGTAATTAGTCAACTTTATTTAACATAACAGCCATTAATGCACATATTAGATGTGTTACATAAATGCCTGAAATGTAGCTAGTTTATGCAGCTTAAGAAATAGAGACAAACTCACTGAGTCACGTAAGATAATCCGTCAAGTCCTCTCCCAATAAAGACGTAACTTTGCATGAATTAAATAATACAGCCATGAAAGAGCGCATGTTGGAAATAAAAGCGCTGAATTTAATTCTCTCTCTGTTGTCTATGCTCATCATTAGTTTCGTGAAGTCGTCTGCATTTTGCTGTTCACTCACCAGGTTGATGCTCAGGAAATGCTCCAGCACAGCCACCGCATGTAACTTTTAACAAGATTAAATAAATACAACTCTATGGAAATTAATTATTATCTCCGCGAGCGATCACAGGTCGAGTATAGTTCTGTGTAAATGCATAGATAAACAGCGCTTTGTCAGCACGCATTTCATAATTTAGAACGACAAAAACATTAGTAGTTCTGATATAACATACCAGTTGAGAAATGCAATAAAATACGATGTTTTGTTTGTTATATTCCAATATTCCAGAGAATATTATTCAGTGAATTAACATTATCCAGTGAATTATTCTTCACTCTTTAGTCTATTAAACATCTTATAAACCTACTAAAACTGTGGTTTAAAATGAAGATGACTCCTGTCCTTTATTTATTTTCTCCATTTGCAAACATTAGACCTTCTACATTTATTTTGCTTATTAGTGTTGCTGCTGATGCTTTTTATAAATAAAATGTTTTTATTGTTGTAATATGAAGATTAAATTTACCATGAAAAACACTTTTTTTAAGATGACTGAAAGGAGGACAAACCAAAGTGAAGCATGGACTTACTTCACTCAGTCATTTATTTACTTTATAACAGTAAATAAATATCGGTTCTGCATATCGGTTATTGGGCACATAAACATGCAAATAATTGGTATCGGTTATAAAAAAAAATCTATATCGGGCGATCACTAATATCAATTAATTATATTTCTAATGTATATTAATACAAAACATTTGTGTGATTTAACAGTGATTAATCAAGTGGTAAAGTATAGTGATATCTATTAGGTAAAATTTGTACCATTTTTACAAAATTTTTGTCTTGCCTTAAAATCTAGTTTAGTTTTAAAAAAGCTAGTTCAGTCAAAAATTTAAATTCTGTCATCATTTACTCACCTTCCACACGTTTCTTTCTTCTGTTGAACACAAAAGAAGATATTTTAAAGAATGCTGCTAACCAAACATTTGACGATAGCCGTTAACTTCCATAATAATTTTCCATACTATGGAAGTCACTGGCTACTGTCAGCTGTTTGGTTGCCAGCATTCTTCAAAACGTTATTTTTGGTGCATAAGAAAGAACCTCATTCAGGTTTGGAACAACTTGAGGGTGTGAGTAAATAAAGACAGACTTTTCATTTTTGAGTGAACTGTCCCTTTAAGTTTTTGGACCATCAGAAATGTAAAGATGATCACTTCACATGTCAATCAGTGGATGGTTCTTGGCCAGAATGAGCTGCGGTGTTGAACTAGCTGTGCAATATTGACATCAAGCATATTTGCATTGCATGACTGTGCCGTAAAGGTGGCGGTGAAGTAATTGGACACAATTTTTAAAGGCTCAGATTATCAAATTAGTGTATAAACATTGTAACAATCTGTCTTCAGATTGTTTTTTTTGTGAATTCTGAGATCAAGTTGAAGGCCAACATGGCCGTTTCTCCTGTTTGTCAACAGCAACCTAAGCGCCTCCAAACCGGCGAACCGACAAGCCATGCGCAACTGCAAAGGCCTCATCGACTCACTCATGCGCTACGTGGAGAAATGCATAACTGCCGGGACACCTGACAACCAGGTAAACGCTTGGTGATTATATGTGCTACAAAAAATCAGGAAATGATGAGCAAAAATCTATCTGTTGCTTTGCTTAAACTTAAGCATTAAGCATTAGCGAGTCAGTCTAAATCAAAAGATCTTTTAAAACGTGTAACTTAATTAAAATAGGAAAAGTCCAAAAGTGTGTGTTGTATCAGTATTTTCTCTGTAGTAAAAGAGTTTTAAGATGGCATGAGATGCCAAGGTTTTTTTTCTAAGCAAGCATCTTTATAGTCTGGGTGGAGAATGTTGGTGTGGCATTGATGATTTAATGGTGTTTTAATAAGTTATTATGTAGTGATGCCCAAAGCGTTAAAACTCGTGAAAGCGTGTATGGACACAAGGTGTTTCCAGGGGCTAAACTCATGCAGTCAAACTCTATTATAAGTGAAGTGACATGTGGCCAAGTATGGTGACCCATACTCAGAATTAGTGCTCTGCATTTACCCATCCAAAGTGCACACACACAGCAGTGAACACACACAAACCGTGAACACACACCCGGAGCAGTGGGCAGCCATTTATGCTGCGGCGCCCGGGGAGCAGTTGGGGGTTCGGGGCCTTGCTCAAGGGCACCTCAGTCGTGGTATTGAAGGTGGGAGAGAGCGCTGTACATTCACTCCCCCCACCTACAATCCCTGCCGGTACGAGACTCGAACCCACAACCTTTGGGTTATGAGTCCGACTCTCTAACCATTAGGCCACGACTTCCCCTGAAGGAAAATGCGTTGGCCGGGAAACGAACCCGGGTCAACTGCTTGGAAGGCAGCTATGCTCACCACTATACCACCAACGCAGGTAACAATTGTTGTGGTTAGAAAAAATGCTGCATTACTCACATTTAATTGACGGACAGATTTGATCAGAACCTCACGAGCATGTTTCAACATCTGCTTTCTGTTTCACTGGATATGCAAATAATCCGTGCATGTCAGTTTTCCTAAACAAAGTCACAGAAGAGGAGCAGCGCCAGATGTCCAATATCAAGTCACAAAGTTAGTCCAGTGCGTAGATCCAAAAATAACATGAAGCCAGCAGAAAAAACAATGCGCACACGGTCAAATGCAGGGCAAAACCTCCTCAAAAAAATCTTTATTATAGTGCTTAATCAGAGGCCATAAAAAAAGTGCAAAGTGCAAAAGTTTTCCAAGTAGCAGTTTTCCTTAACACACATTGTTACATGGCCACTAAGAACAAACTTGCACATCCTATATAATTATAAAAAATAAAAACTTTTTTTTTTGCATATGTATATATAAAATAAACTGCTAGAGACTTTCAATTTTTAAATCACAATTTATATTTTTATGTCAATATTTACAATTTTTATATTATATAACCACCAATGTATGTGTTTATTTTTATTGCTGTTGCCCGTTTTAAATATTTGAATCGCTTTTTAGCTTTTTGCTGTTTACTTAAATAGACCTGTGGTGTGACAAATGGCATTTTAAAAACAAATATTGCTTGTAATCCCCCAATTAATGCATGATAACTATACAATAGCAAGAGAAATGTTGATTAAAATACCTATAGACAAGTAAAACACACCACTGCTGCTGCTTATTTTAATGTCTACGTTTTTATCACAGTATTGGTTATTGTGCTCTTGATTTCCAGTCTTTGGAGAACTGCGTCTGCATTCTGCACAACCTCACCTACCAGCTGGAGACCGAGATGCCGTCTCTCTTCACTAAAATAAACATGCTGGCCAGTTACGCTCGCAGTCACTCCAGCTCATCAGACGCCGGTCCGATCGGCTGCTTCAGCTCCCAGAGCCAAAAACTGCAGCAGGAGGTTTGTGGTTTTACGCCTCATTAAAGCTTGTATTTCACAGTGTGATTGCCATCTTAATATTTCAGTGAAACTGTGAGGTTCTTCAGATAATATGGAGATATTTGAGACATTTGCCAAAAGCATTGCATTACTGTGGATGATAGTTTTTATTGAGTTGTCCTTCATGTTGTCGTGTTTGGTTGTGTTGCAGCAGAGCGGCTTTGACTATCCAGTGATGGAGGACAACAATCCTAAAGGTGCCGGCTGGCTCTTCCACTCCAAAGCCCTGCAGATGTACCTCAATCTGTTGAGCTCCAGTGAAAGAGACGCCACACTTGAGGCCAGCTGCGGAGCGCTGCAGAACCTCACAGCCACCGATGGCTTAGTAAGACATCAATCAGTTTGTGTTAGCATGCACCTGTTCATAGGTTGGATGCAGAGAAAATCAAGGATTCTGCTATATTTTATATTTGTTTTAAATAACAATGCTTTATATTATAAGCATTGTTTATTTTATTTATAACATGCACCTGTTCATGGGTTGGACATAAACCTGAAATCGAGGATTTTATTTTATTGTATTGTGGAATATATTTAAATAATAATGTTTTATATATTAAGAATTATTTTATTTGATTTTTTTAATAGAATGCACCTTTTCATGGTTTGTATTTGAAAAATCAAGTAAATTTCAAATAATAATGGTTTACATAATAAGCTTCATTTATTATTTTTAGTTTTGCATGCATGCATCTGTCATGGGATGTACTCAAAGAAAAGCATGGATTTATTTCATTATGATAATTATTTTGATTAAATAATGTTTTATATTAAGCATGGTTTATTTTATTTTATTTATAACATGCACCTGTTCATGGGTTGGACATAAACCTAAAATCAAGGATTTAATTTTATTGTATTGTGGTATATATTTCAATAATAATGTTATTTATAACATTATATATTAAGAATTATTTTATTTTATGTATTTTTTATTTAATTCTTTTATAGAATTCACCTGTTCATGGAAAGTCAATTTCAAATAATAATGGTTTACATATTAAGCTTCATTTTTTTTTTTTTGCGTGCATGCATCTGTCACGGGTTTGACTCAAAGAAAAGCACGGATTTGATTTCATTATGATAATTATTTTGATTAAATAATGTTTTATATTAAGCATTGTTTATTTTGTTATTTTT